GGCATGACCATTCTCCCTGGAGGTGATTTCTTTCTCTCGGTCTCTCTCTGGTGAGCGCACACGCTCTCTAGCAAATTTTTAAAAATGGTTTAATGGTGGATATTTATGACTGGTGGGGGTAGCTTAACTACCTGTTCCAGTCTCACAAGGGACAGGCTGTGTAGGAAAGACTGATAGGCGGCATGGAAGGAAATACAGTGCACATTGACAGCCTTTTCGAAACAGTTCAGGGAATTTTTTTGTGCAGCCTGCCCTTTTAAAGAACCTTCTTTTCCTATGGTGCTCTCTTTCCCCATTGTGCTTTCTGTTTATACATCTTTCTGCTGCTTTTCGTTTTTCCCACTCTTGTGGAGAATCTGCAAAATAGCAGTCTCCTTCGAGGCCTCCAGACTTGTTCATGGGAAGACAGTCAGGGAAACGATGTCATGTTTGGCAATGAATGGCCCATCTCTGTTCTTTCCCAGAGCTAATCGCAGAACCAGCTGTACAGGAGGCAGCAGGGGAGACACTTTCAGCCTGCTCAGAGGCCCGGCTTGAAGCAATGAAAAATTAATGTCACAGGGCAGAGAGAGCTGCAGAGCAGAGAGGCAGGCGGAACCAGTACGGGAGGGGACAGGGCTGGAGGAGAGGGAGAAGGCAGGGATGACAGCCCAGATTACTATGAGAGCTCTGAGACAGGATATGGGGGCTGCAGAGGGGTCTGGATGGCCGTAGCCGGTAGTTTCTCTCCATGCACTGTCTTCCTTTCCAGTGTCAGAGATAGTTAAGGACCTATTATCTCCGTGACCATCAAGGATACCTCATAAACAAGAAATGACATGAATTACTTTCCTGCCTTGTTTCGGCATTTATTGAGATGCTGTGTGTCAGAACACTCGAAGGTACACAAATATCCATTTCACTACTATCTGGATACCTAGAGAAAAGGAATTCCTATAGGTGGATTACTGTATGAAATAAAATCATATGAATGTATATTTTATATATATATACATACATATACACACACATATCATACTTATTTATTTATTTAAAAATTATTTATTTATTATCATTATTTTTCCTTTTTTTTTCTTTTTTTTTTTTGGAGAGATTTTCACTATAAGGCATGTGGGCTCGCCAGACAGACAG